TCCTTTCACCTCACTCCCCCCATACCCCTTTGATAGCGAACAAATGGAAGATTTCAACCTTTGATGGTAATCCATATACGTCTACATACATCTATACAATCTAGGAGGATAAACTACAAACCTGGGCGGATCTTAACAATCTAGGAAAACAAACGACAAACCTGGGGTTCTTAACAATCTAGGGAAACAAACGACAATCCTGGGGATCTTAAGAATCTAGGAAAACAAACGAAAAACCAGGTCGGATCTCAGACTTCTGACCAAGAGGAGAGGAGTATATTATATATCGAGGCAAGCACCTGCCTTAGATAGCTAATAAACCTGTATCTTTCTGCATGTCTCCCCTCTTTATTGGTATACGTAGGCGACGGAGAAATGGAGAGCAGTAGCTACTAGTCACAGCATCTTGCCCTTTCATGGAACGAATGCTCTAACTAATAGTCGGACTCCCCCTCTCCGGAATAGCCGTTGACATAGGTGTTACTCGATAACAATCACAACTGGTCATCGCTAACCCAGTTGGGAGTTGGCGGTGACCGTCGCAAGACCCACGATCAATGGAATTCATTCATGTCGGCATGTGTGTCGTTCTCCAGGAAGATCTCAATCCTGTTGTTCATCTTGGGCCGAATTTCGACGCAGCAGAGGGCGCTCACAATGCAGATGACTCCAAAGGCGATGGAAGTGAAGGCGGTCGCTCTAGAACAGAAAAAGGGGTTCAGCTTTCCACCGGCACAAAACAAAAATAAGGAACAAGGACAGAGAGCGGACTCACCTTAACCCCCAGCCATAACTTTCCCGCCATGCTATCCCGACAGCTGCCGCGATCTTGCTGTTCATGCCGGGCACGGCCTGTAAAGCTTTCGACCCTAGTGGCAAGGCCTTTAAGACGGCCGGGACCGATGAGGATGGTAAGCCGGCGGCGATGGCTACTTTGGGTACGAGGCTGGCTGCCCGTGAGCCCTGAGTGTTTTTGAGGACGGTGGAATAGACCCCGACGGCGATGGCGCCGCCAGCGTTGCGGGCAACACCTCTGACGGTGGAATTAGTACCCATGTCAAGACTGCACGCTCGCTGGAGGGAAGCCTGAGGCTGTACTTACGCGAGCCCACCGGCAATGCCCAGCTCCTTCTGGTCGGCGCCGAATTGAATGTATGCAATCGACAGATATTGCGCCCAGCCGTAGCCCATCAGACTTAAGAAGATGAAAGCCATCGCACTGCTCTTCCGCTCAGGGGTGTTGGAGTAGGCCAGCATGGCGCCCCAAAAGCTCATCCAGGAAACCACACCCACGTACTCCCACTTCCATCCGATGGCGTTGCCAATCCTGGTGCCGAACGTGACCAGCAAGAATGCGCCAAGGACGTAGCCCAAGCTCTGAGGCAAAGTCAGAAGCAGCGCATACCTGAAGTTGGTGGTCTCGGTGGTGAAGATCTCGTCGATCATGATGGGCCAAACCACGTTGGAGCCAAAATAGAACATGCACACACACAGGCCGGAGATGAAGGGGGCGGTGAAATCCCGGCCATTTTTGGCGGTGAAGATATGTGTCGGGGTGAGAGGCTGCTTGAGATTGCCATACCGTTCCCATAACGCGAAGAGTATCATCAGGACGAAGCCCACCACTAGAGGGGCAACGACCTTTGCGTTATTGCTCTTCTCATACGTGGAGTACACCACGCCGGTCAAAATCAGAGTGAGTGCTGACGTAAAAAGGATCGCCCCGAGGTAGTCGAGTTCCTTGATCGCTACGTGCCACGGAACGCCGCGAGGGTGCTTCGGGGGATGATACAGCCAAACAAGCAAGGCAAACGAGACTGCAACAGCAATCGCAGGACCGTAGAAGAGCCAACGCCACGAGTAGCTGCCAGCCGGCTCGACGCTGAAACGGCCCACGACAGGGCCGACCGTGACACAGAAGACGATGCCGGCGTCCGCTATCGTGACGGCAATGTGTCTCCACTTGTTCGGGAGGAGCTCTGGCAATGCGAAGGCCGCCAGTTGGCAATTGCCGCCTCCGAATCCGATGAAGCACATGCCGGCGATGAGCTGCTTGGTGCCCTTGGCCGTGCCCGCGATCAGGAAACCGATGAACAGCAACACGTTGCCGGCAATGATGAAGTAGCGGCGGCCAAAGAGGTCGGAGTTGGCACCGCAAATCATGAACGAGGTGGCCACTGTGATCTCGATGACGGAGATGAACCATGTTGCATCCTGGGGACTTCCGAGCTGGGTCGCGATGGTGGATTGCACGTAACTGACGGTGGGTACCACGAAGAAGGAGATGGCGTAGGAGAGGGCTAGGACCTGAAGCATTGTCAGCCGTCAGATCTGCTGAGCGGTGTGCATGTCGGTGCTGGAATGGGAATTGGAAGCCACGTCCAAGTCAACGTACCGAGACCACCACCCACGTCTTCGCCGTGACCTCGTACTCGTCATCGTCACTGGGCACCCTGCGCTCGGATTCCGGTACTGTGGCAGCTTTGGAGTCTGTGTGAGTCTTCTCGATGTGGCCTGTACTCCCACTGAGCGAGGCCTCCTCTATGGATAAGCGCTTCTCTTCTGCCATGTTTGGTAGGGTCGCTAGACAGTCTAAGCTTGCATACTGGGACCCAGCAGACAGAACCTTAGAGTGACAGAAGGGGAAGAGAGGATAAGGGACTGAAGAGGAAGGAATTCACGACGACTTCACCAAGGAAGCGATCAACGGTCCTTTATGGTGTTTTTGGAACGGAACCACGCCGTTCTGCGGAGACGGCACAATATCGCGTGCATAACACTTGACACGTTTTTTAACGGCCTGATTAGCTTGACATCTCCACGGGTTCGGCAGTGCATGGAGATATGAGATATGAGATATGCAGGATACCCCAGTGCCGTTGGGGAAGGTCCAGCAGATACGCGCAGATGCTGGGGACCCCTCGTGGGGCGTGCGCTCAGCGAACGTGATGCTATGCCATATGGCGGCGGTAGACTCGGTTCATGGGCTCAAGTGAGTTGTGAGTTGTGAGTTGTGAGTTGCCAGGAACGCGGAGTCTGTTGGCCGAGAGGTAGATACCCCGTCACGGTTGATGATGCGAAGTGTCGCAATCCTTGCTGCCCACTTTTTCCCACAGCCGAAGGTTGAACCCTGACCAGCTTGACCTGTCACCCGGCCTGCGGCCACCGAGCTATGGAGGGAATGATTGGCGTGGCGGGGAGAGGCGAGGCTCGGAATGACAGGTATACGTAGTATATTCCATGCAGCTCCTACTCAAGGCAGAGAGGGGCAATCTGAGGAATCTGGGGACTGGGGAAGGGTGCTCTATCTCCATCTGGCTGGCCCTACCGAGATATGTGCATATGTAACATGAATATAAAACCCGTCGGGGGAAGATACACTGGCAAAGTAACCTGAGGGGAACAATAATGGTTTGACCCCTTCTCAACAGTTGTATATATATATGTAGCTGCCTGCCCCAGTATCTACCTCAGTGCCTACCTGGCTCTGAGACTGATGCTCCCAACCATGTCTTGGCTAGTCCGGTATCCCCCCGGTCGACTCGGAGCTGAGACCGACCTCGCCCCCGCCACGGAGAACGAAGAGCGAAGTGTTCTCCGCTTCCTTGGACGGCGGGGAATCCCAGACAACCAGACACCGGCCATCATGACAGTTGTCATTACAGAGTGTCTCACTGGTCCGGCACGACCCAGAAGTGCCAGCGATTTCATCCGATTCGCCCATCATGACCATTGAGCGTTTCGGTGTTCGCAGACCGGCTTATGTTAGCAGTCTCGGGAGGCTGGATAAGGGATATGCCAGAGTATAACTCAGTGACTTGGAACTTCCCCCTGATTCTTAGTCTCTGGTTTCTTGTTCACCCGACACAACCAAAAAGGACTCGGATGCTTGACTTTGTTTCCGCATGGTCGTGACTAGGGAGTCTGTCTGTAGTAGTATTCTCGTCTAACGACGGATATCTTATATATTGTATTTGTAGTAATACATATTATGTTCTTACTATCACAAGATGACCGAGCGGGGCTTAGGGGAAAGAAATGTAGGAGGGAAGGGAGAACAGACTCCAGGCTCCTCGATGTCACTGCTGCGTCGTATAATGAATGGCAATTGAATAACGAGATGGAAAGGAAATGACCACGACCGGCCCCAGCAGGCGGGCGTAGGGTTAGGGTTAGGGTTAGGGTTGAGATAGAGGCCCCGTCAAAGCGGCGAGGGATTGGCACGGCTGACCTGCCGTATCGGATGCAGCTCGCTGGAAGTACCTAGGTATGTTAAGGCCACCATTTCACTAATATATTGATTACAAAGTATATCTATTTCCGGAGCCTTCCTGTCTGGGTGCTCTGTCGAGCAATCTCTAACCAAACTACCTTACTATTAGAATCGCTTCCGCGGACTAGTCAGTGCTGCTCACGTATATTGGCCACAACACCTCTCTAGCATCACTAGCCTAGATTATGGCTTCTAGCTTACTATGGACAGTTGTTACTATTGGACACTTCGCGTTGGCCCTGACAGCCACCTTCTGATGAGCCCTATAACTAGGTACCTAAAGGAAATAAGGTATGGATGCGCCATGTCGTACATAACGGAGACTCCACGACACCAACAGACCCCCAGACTCAATCCCTATTTAGCGTTCGCCCAAGGGCCAACAGAAGTCATCCCGAGCCCCAATCGCGACCTGTCAAACACGCTTTGACAGGACATCAATGATCTGATTGAAACTGCAATACTATGGCTTCCGAGTCAAGGCCTCAACTCCCAACCGCGACCGCGACCATTCGCCAAAATGACCTCAACGGCGAGACCAAGACGCCTCCTAGTCCCACCAGTGCATTGTCAACAACCAACGCAGCCGCCAGAAGACATGCCAAAGGGCTTTCTTTGAATCTTCCTATTCTTTTGCCTCCTACTCCGCAGATGTCACAGGCGCAGTCACCTACCGCAAACTCATCGTACCAGAGTCCTCTCGACTCCGCTCGATCCTCGCCCCGGGCCCGTGCATCTCCTTTTCGACACAGCGACCCTGTCACCGAGACTGGAGAACCCTCCAAGTCTAGGACGAGCTCGGATTTCTTCACCTTGCTGGCTGCCCAGGAGCGGAAAGTGCTAGAGCTACGAGAAGAACTGCACAAGGCGGAGGCGGATCTGCTGGGTCTCAAGAAGCAATGGGCATCGTATGAAGCCAACAAGAAGAGGGAAGAAGTCAAACACGTGAAGAAGTTGCAACCTCTACCTCTAGATGATGTCACTGCCACTGGCCGCGAGCTTGTCTTTGCGGAAGACGAGGCGGACGAGGAGCGGAGGAAGAAGATTGCCATGGTCGGAAGAGCCAACACCTTCAACAGCCCTGCCGTCAACAACAATGGCAGCGGAGCCTCTAGCCTGGCCAGAAAGGGTTCTAAGCGTGTGTTCGAAGGTGGCCGGCATACCAGAGCCTTGAGTCTGTTAAGTCCAACATCGTCGAAACCTGGGCGCGCTGCTACTGCAAAGTCGAGAGACGAGAGAATCGGCCAGGTGGATGCACTGCCTGAAACCGAGCCGGGCAATGTCCTAACCCAGCCATCGTTTCCCGGGATGCCTGCCCTGGACGGCCTCATCTCCGGCGATCCTCTGCAGTTGGGGTTCGGCAAGACCTACAAAGAACTGGCAGCACATCGCCGGTCACTCCCCCCGGTGGCAGCGGACCTGTTGGTGAAACAAGGTAAACAAGTCTACGACGGTATGCGTGAAGGACTGTGGACATTCTGGGAAGACATCAGGCAGGCAACCGTTGGCGAAGAAGGAATCAACGGCACAGCCCAGCAACAGCGGCCCACCAAGCCAACCACCCAGAAGAAGACGGCTAGGAAAGCTTCGAATGGAGCGGGATTGGGTTTACAGAAGACCAAGACAAGTTCGTCGACAGAGGATGGAGAACGAGGACGGTCATCGAAGGAAGGCTCATTTTGGCGCGAATTCGGCTTGGACACTCCTAAAAGACAGCCCGCCACTCCACCAGTAGAGACCGGTCAGGACACGGCCAGAGGACATGTTCCGCAAAAGAGCAGTACCGATTCGACGAATCCGCCCAGTCTGTTGCCGGATCTGAACGATAACGAGGAAGAGGTTGAAGATGCATGGGACGCCTGGGACTCTCCGGTCACCATCAGACAGGCAGCTGAGCGGCCTTGGGACAATAAGGAGGTGTCTGGACCTGAGACGGGGCCTGATCCCGGCCCTGCTTCCGAGCACAACACCGTCACTGTTTCTGTTGCTGTTCAGAAGGCCGAGCAGGCAGATGACACTCTGCCCTGGCCGGAAATCCAGAAACTGACCCCCACCAAGTTGACCAGGACTGTCAGCGACCTGATGCGAGAGTGGGATGCTGGCTCGAACTCGAACGGGGGGGGCATGAATGTGAAAGAGAGCACGAGCATTCCGAACGGACTTGCCTCAGAAAGGTCGAATCTGACCGACCTGGCAGATGCTAATGGACAAGCTCATCATCCATTAGATAGTCCGCACATGTGATGGTTCGACTTGATGATACACATAAATACACGTACATATAATATAACGGATTCTTGGGGATTGATTACGACAAGCTTGAGCACGGATGGGGAAGACACACGACGCCAGGCAACGGGCGAAGACATTGAAGACGGAGCTGGAGCCGCCATCCAGCGCTTTGACAGCTCCATCCAGCGAACTCCCACAAAATACGTAGCTGGTCGGAATTCTTTATATATTTTGAGAGGTCCTTGCTCAGTAAATCCTATGGAGATGGTAACATGTGACGTTCTAGACCAAGTTCTCTTTCAGTTTCACCTTTACTGGACACTGTCGAGTGAGTAGTGTTGGTCAGATGTGCCGCCAGTATTATTTTCATCTCACGACCAACAGCATCGATGGTGTGTGTAGTTAGCCTATTACTGTCCAATAGCGGAGGCACCAACGTTGTCAGTGTTGTCATCGCTGGACAGTGTACACAAGTGTGCTCCGGATACACTGCTCGGTACACAGTAAATATTGTTTGTGTTTGTTTTTGGCCCATACGTATCCGTATACGCTCGAGCCCCCGGGTGCGTGCACATTGAAAATCATCATCACGAGACATACCTAAGGCAGCTGACATATAGTAAGTATGACGCACATGGACGATCAACACCATCACCGAGCTGTTCCCTGTCTTGGGGGGCGCCTGGTTTCATCAGCAGACGGTGGTCCTCGATTCTGACGGCTTTGACAGCAGTGACAGCCAGCACGAGGCGGGAGCCGGACCGTGAAGGGAGATCATCATAGCAGAAGTGACAGGTTCTAGCCAGTGATGGGGGCGGCGATCGTACAGATAGTCCATACATGCACAGAGGATCAGTAGCCGAACAAGGAATTGGACAGTTGATAGCCGTCCCGTCTCTCATGAAACGTCTCCCGCATGGACTTGGACGTGAACTGCAGTTTACCATGAAATCAGGAACCAGTGTGGCCCTCGGACCAAGGCCTGGGTGCCCTCCGTCTGGGAGTTTTCGGTCTGAGTGTCCTCTGTCCGTCCGGATTGGGAGCCAAGTAAACAAAGGTCAGCCGGCCGACGCGGAAGTCAGGGGTATCTATGTGCTCTGTAAGACTCGAGAGCCGGAGATGAGCAGAGTAGATGGATAGTAGTCTCCCCAGCAACAGTTGGAAATGAAACATCCTGTCTTGCGCGAAAATCAACAAAGCCCCTGACTTGAATGAGCCTTGAGGGTAGCCGGACAGGTCGTGGTAGCGTTGCGACCCGATCGATAACTCGGGAATCGGGGAGCCACGCCGCGTAACAGCTAAAGACTGAAGACTCCAGACTCTTGAGTCCAGAGTCCACGGATACTGGGGCGCTTCAAGGCCGTTAGGGTAAGGTCGCGACCAGGGAGGGGTGCAAGGCTGTACTGCACATAGTTAGACTCTGGCCAAGTGGTGGGAGAGTGGAGGGAGGCGAAGTGGGCTGCGCATTTGCATTTCGCGAAGGGCGTTCACGCTCTGTACTTTACTTGATGAACGGAGTAGAGTTCCGTCATACTCCATACTCCATACACATATGGATAAGGATCACTGATAACTATGTGCTGAGCGAAAAGGGTACGCAGTATAATTGTGGTCGGAAACCGGTGGGATGGGAGGCAACTCGTTGTGTAGCAGGAAGGATCGGTAAGACGTACGAGGTAAGATGCAAGACTTAAGCTAGGTCCCTAAAGGACATAGTAGACTTTCAGGCCCCGGGAAGGGCCTAAGCCCCTGCATTAGCGGTCCCTATTAGGCGGTCCCAGGTGCCTCTAGCCTGTTCGTGTCTGGTCTCGGCCGCCCGGCAAACCTGCAGCCAGCGGGCCACGGGCCCCGGGCGCCTTGCCAGTTCCAGCGTAGTGTTCCCCCGTTGCTAAGGTAAACAAATGTCTGGATTGTGCCAAAGTCGCATTCACAGTACAGATACAGACTCCAGAGGATGTGTCCCAGAGTACTCTGTACTATGTATGTGTATGTGTAACTCTGTACAGACTCCAGAGTATCATCGCTCCCACACTACCGCACTACCCAGTACTACTGATGCCGCCGGCTCTCGACTGTCGACAGACTTCGCCGTACATGTACATGTGTAGGACCACAGTTCGCCCGCTCCAACTCCAACTGCGCCTTTTCTGGCTCGGGTCATGAGGCTACACTACAAGACTCACTCACTACCTTAACTAGGCTTGCCACCGTTCCAATCAACCTCAACCTCCTCATCCTCGTGGACCAGCACCTCCACCGGCACCGGCACACTTCCACCGTTGAACTGTCACTTACATATCACATACATACACTACGCTACTAGACCATACCACACCTCACCTCACCTTTCATCCTTCCAACCCGCTCAGCTACATTTCGGTGTACAAAGTGCATACACATACTCTTCAAACCTGTCCTGCAGTTCGGTGCGGTCCCATCATCTTCGAAAGAACGCCGTGAATCGAGTCGCTCATTTATTCGTCTTTCAGTCCTCGCCAGTGCATACTGTTCGAAATCTCCCTGTACTACCACCCCCGACCACCCCGACCACCCCGACCAGCATCGCATCGCATTGATTTGATTCTTGCATTCATTTTTGGTCGGAAGCGGGAAAAGCCCGTCAGCGCAGCGCAGCACCTGCTGGTCATATCCAAGGAACAGGAGGTGGAGTCAAAAACGGGATCGATTGATTGACTTGGGACATAACACTCGGTCTGTATCGATATTGGACTGCCTGGATGGGCGGTTGTTCTCATTCCGCAAGTCTCACTTCTCACACCGGCCGATAGCTTCTGCATACGGCAGGGGGTGAGTGCGAGACTGAGCTGATCCTTCATCGCATTGATTGTCGTCCGACCAGAACCATGGCCATAGTCTCGGAATACTCGGAGACTGCACCTCATGAGGCACCGGTATCGGCGACCTCGACCACCATGCCTACACCCGCATCCACACAATTCGAGATCCAAGATGATCAGGCCGACGGCGAGACCTTGGCGGCCAAATACCAAATGCTGGAAGAACTAGGTAGTGGCTCGTTCGGCGTGGTTTACAAGGCCATTGAAAAAGCCACAGGCGAAATAGTCGCCATCAAACATGTACGTATGACACAGGCCGGGAGACCCTGGAACCCAAGCTGATACATTGTTTCCAGGTCGACTTGGAATCCTCTGAAGAAGACCTCTCCGATATCCTCTCCGAACTATCCGTCCTCTCCTCGTGCTCGAGTCCCTACGTGACGAAATACCGCCTCGCCTTTCTGCGACGCCACACACTATGGATTGTCATGGAATATCTCGGCGGCGGGTCGTGTGCAGATCTGCTCAAACCACCTCCACATTCGCTGTCCGAAAGTCACATTGCCATCATCTGTCGAGAACTTCTGCTGGGTCTGGCATATCTACACCGAGAAGGCAAACTGCACCGAGATATTAAAGCCGCCAACATCCTGCTGGGCATGGACGGGCGGGTTAAACTGGCCGACTTTGGCGTGGCGGCGCAACTGGTCGGGCTCAAGAGTGTGCGGAATACCTTCGTCGGCACGCCGTTCTGGATGGCGCCGGAAGTCATCCAACAAGAAGGCCACGACGCCAAAGCCGACATTTGGAGCCTCGGGATCACGGCCATGGAGCTGGCGAACGGAGAGCCGCCTCACGCCAACGTCCATCCCATGAAAGTCCTGTTTCTGATCCCCAAACAGACCGCTCCCCGACTGGAGGGGAGTCGATGGTCGAGGGATTTCAAGGACTTTGTGGCCGCCTGCTTGACCAAAGAGGTGGATAAGCGAAGTGGTGCCAAAGACCTACTGAAACATCGATTCATCCGGTCTGCCGGCAAGATTGAAGGGCTTCAGGAGCTGATCGTTCGAAAACAAGACTGGGAAGCCCGCAAGGGAGGCGACCGTCATCTGAAATACTACGCCGAGACGCTTCGGAGTTTGTCAGCCGCCCAGAATGACGACGACTGGGTGTTTGAGACCATCAAGGCCGTTCCGACCGTGGATCTAAGGGCGGGTCAGACTCAGAAGCGGAGAAAGGTCGAGAGAAGGTCGTCGGTAGATGTGCTTGGGGACCATGACAGTGAGAATGGCCATGGCAACGACAATCCTGACGAGAGTGCTGGTCGGACCATGGACGGGCTGGATTTCGGTCGGGAGCAACCGACAAGTCCTACCAAGTTGACGATGCGCAAGATCTCCAATACCCGCCCGTTACTGGCCAACCGAAGGGATTCAGGAGATTCACAGACCACGTCCAGACGGACGGCGCGGAAGAGAATGTCCAGTGCCGCTCAGGCCCGACAGCCGCTGGGAGTCAACATGTCGTTCGGCAACAGTCCGAGCACGGTGCGGCAGTTCAGAAGAGTGTCGCCAAACGTGATCACAGGAGGAGGAACTCCGGAGCTGGAGAACGAAAACGAAAACGAAGATCCCGACCCCAACAGTAGTGTGATCAGGACACCGTCCAAAGCCAGCAAGTTGGGCACTGACTTGTTCATGGAGCCAGAGACACAGTCGAGGCTGAAGTCGAAGTCGAAGTCGAAGTCCGAGTCCAAGTTGCAGCCGGATGAAATGGACTCGAGATTATCGGACAAGGACTCTCTAGGTTCAGGCAATGACTCGAGAATATCGGAGGAGAACTCGCCATCTTCGTCGACCGCAACTACTGCTATGACGGGGGCGGTCCCGGCAGCGATACCATCGGAAGCGAAAGAGACCATTCTAGGCCGAAGATTGTATAGCAGCGCCATCGGCATATCGTGTCAAGACGTGCTCGACGAGACCGCCGACCAGGTCAAGCGCGAGGCTGTGGCGCGGCTGGCCGAGGCGTTTTCGGATTTGGAGAGTGTCGACCCTGACGGCCTGTATCATATCATGGCGACGATCGTGGCCAAGATGAAACAGGATCCGATTCTGGTCAAAGCCATATTGGCAACAGAGAACGTGGAGGAGGCGCGAGCGAATAAGTCTGGGTCCTTGACGCCCGACACAGAGAAAGCTGGTTCGTCTTTGCAGGAGGCGCAGTTAGCAGTGTCACAGCCACCGACACAGCAACAGCAAACTCCTTCGGCTTCGGCTTCGACTCCCTCTCCCACTTCACAACCCACCTCAGCCAACGCAAGCAGACAAGTGACGCCCGCAGCGGTACCGAACAATAAAGTGTCCGGGGCCAAGCTGGTCCTGGCACAGAACAATCCACATCTCAAAAGCCATCGTCGCAGACAGAGTGCGCAAGCCGTCGTGGGTGTGGGTGTGCTCAAGTCTCGCGACTCGAGTCAGGCCACCACCGCAGCTGGAGGCAGTCCGTTGAAGAAGGCGAGTAGTAGTAGCAGTGCCAATGTTGGGAGTCCGAGGGCGACGGCCGGGACAACGAGGGGAACGACGAGGGGGAACCGGAGTGGGAATGAGGTTGCGAATGCGAATGCGAACATGACCATGAACAATCCAAAATCCACCACTGTCACCGAGGTCGATACAGACGGTGCCAATGGTACTGGTCCTGCTACTGCTACTGCTACTTCTGCCAGCGACGCGGCCGACAAGGAAATGATGAAGGGGTTGGTCGGCGGCCTTGACCATACGCGACAATTGGCCGACGTGTTGTTTGAGCGTTGGTGTCAGGGATTGAGGGTTCGGTGGCCTGCTGTATAAAAGGGAGGTTGGGGTTGTGATTGAGGTGGAGGGGGGTTGGAGGTGGAGGTTCAGATTCAGATCAACTTTAGCAAGTATTTTACTCTTTCTTTTTTCGTTTTTTCGTCTTTCGTCCATTCTTTCGTAGTTCTTAGTATATCAAGGGTGGATGAGTGGATAGGTGGAAATCTGAATCGACTGATTTTGATTCATTCCTAAGCAGGCTCTTCTCAGACGCGACGGTGGGATATCAATATATATATATATTATATATACCCCGAACTGTGCTATGTCCTTTCCCTTTTTCGTTCAGGAAAGGGAGCGCGGCCGCTTTAATCAGGTACCTGACGGAGCATCGAGGAGGCCCGGCCGAGCACGGGAGAGCGCCGCGGGAGCTACGGCAGAGTGCGGGAGAGCGCGCCCGAGCACTAGACGAGCCGTAGGGAGCTTTATCTAATACCTGTTCATAGAAGCCAATTCGGGCTCAGGGGGCCCCCTTTAGGCCCCGACAATAAGCCTCTACTACTATACTCGGCGGCGAATCTTAGCCTCTCTAAAGTCTATTTCTATTTCTAAATCTAAGTATCTCGCTATTTAACGCGTATCGTGATTAAGTTATTCTAAGCTATAGTCGTGTAATCCTAAGCTCGGCTTAGCTACTACTAAGATACGATAAGTATAGCCCTAAGTCTTTAAATATTCTTATAACTTTAGTTCTCTAAATTCTCTAGTTTTTAGTATTTCACGTATTTAGAAGGTCTAAATTCTAGACTTACTTTTAGTTATTATTACTAGAGCGCGATTATAGCTACTTTTCGGGCTACGCTACTATCTAGAGAAAGCTCCTCTAATTAATTTACGAGATTAATTTATCTAGAGTACTCTATAGAAGTTTACGTATTAATAAGATAGTAGTTTAATTACTAATACTATAGATTACTGTCACGAATCGTTCCTCAAAGAGTCACGTGTTCGAGTGAGGGTACTAATAAGCGGAAGAAGATGTTTCGATGCGTATACTAGAGCAAGGGTGTCAGTATTTAGAACGAAAACTATTAATGAAATGTATCACCTAGTTTGTGAACGAAGTTGACTACGGAGGAAGGACTACGAAAGGTGGGTGAAGCCCACAACTATATAGATATAGGAAACTCGTAATGCTCTGTCCTGCTCCGTTGCTCCCCCCAGAGCACCTAGAGCCACAGATCGTCCTTGCTCTGTCCTGCTCCGTTGCTCCCTCCAGAGCACCCAGAGCCACAGATCATCCCCGGGTCACGTGGTCCCACGTGCCCCTAGTCTCGGTTTACCTTCCTTCCGGAACGGCCCGGGGGGGTCAGGTTTCCTTCTCCTGGGTTAGGCTCCTAACACGCCTACGACGATAGATATTCTACGGTAAATCGCGAACTACAGGTCTAGTATTTTACGCTAGACGATTCACTATATCGGTAAAAGATTATAGACTATTATAAAGCTATTACTACGGTAAGACGATAAGATACGGTACGCGAGATTTATTCTAGCGTTAGGTATAAAGATCTTTAATATTAACCTCGAAGTATAGTTTCGATTATTTCCCTTCGAACGAGAGCCTTATTTTACGTATACCTACTAAGGTATATAAGTAATTCTCGCGTAGTCTTAGTAGACATATTAGTAAGTAGCTACGTCTAATCTACAACGAATCCGGGTTAGCTACGGATTTCGCGAAGGGCGTTAGAGACGTTAGATCTACAACAATAAGACCTCGAGACCTAGAGTACGGGACACACGATCTAGATAGTTCTTTCCAATATCTAAAATCGCCCTTACCCACGGTGATTATTAAGGTGGCTTATTCCTAGAAAGGCGGGATACTAAGAACCCTTACTGAGGAATATATTCTTAGGTCTAATCTTGAGATTCGAGTTGTGGTTGGAGTTAACATCGAGTACAACAAGAACAAAAGGGCTACATTTTCGGTCTGGCGGGCACAAAGTCTAGGTCTAGATAATAACGAGGTTCAGGTCGTTGAACCGACGGTAGCGAACCAAGTAAGTTCAGCTAAATCTACTACCTCGCGGAGACTGATATCGCGCAGGTGTTCAGATACGATGATGGTAAGCCGAATATCGACAAAACCCTTAGAATATATCTGCGCCTGGAAGACTTTGCAGATCCAAAAACATACCGCCAGTTTAGTGACCTTGACAGAGATATCTTTGTGTCTTGTGAGGAGCTGTACCAGTATCTTGAAGAGGCGGAAAGCGTTGCGAAGGCTACTGGATCGGCCAAACCGGAGCGAACCCCCCGACTGAAGAAGCGTCGTCGAACACCGACACCTGAAGAGCAGATTGACGACCGTGACGAGCACGCTTTTACTGAAGACGAAGAACACGTCACCAAGCGTCAGTATCTAGATGATGCTTCTTATGAGGGAAGCTCTTGATAGCACACTTAGACTTCTGCGGAAGTAAGTACAGACACTTGCAAAACCAGCTTCCTCCCTAAAATTATACCCGAAGATTCTTTAGATAACAGTGGGGTGGAGGAGGATTTATATTTACCAGACCAGTTTACTCATGTCTCCTAGATGCACCAATCACTTCTATATGTTACCACCCACCATATAGCACATTACATACCACAAGACACAAACGTGTCGCGACAGCTTGAGATTCATGGCTGACAGTATCACGTGCGATAAACTATTCTCACGCATCGACTGTATTGTTGGCTAGGTTCAGCACACTGGCATTCACCCTTTTTCAAGAAGGAAGAGCTCTACGTCAGACTTTCATGTTCGTTGCAAGCACCGTTCCTAACCGTTCCTTGCGACGTAGGTCCGTGCAACATGTCACTCACTACAGATGTACTATGTAGAACTGTAGGGTACGTCTTGAACAGTATCTCCTCTACTTCTGGAAACGGCGGAGGAACTTGCGTATGTTCGAGAAACGTGTTTTTTTGGACTCTGCCGGCAGTTGCTCAGAAATCTTGGTCTCTGTAGCGAGCAGTTAATACCGCCCAGCAATTTTTCGTGCCAAAAACTGAACGAGTAGGACGTCCATACCTTGGGAATTTATTGATGTAATTGCACTCTCGAGTTGTCGACACCGTTCGTGTGAAGAACCCAAAACATTCTTCAGTCCCGACAGTGCCCGCTGGTACATCGTCTCTGCCTCTGCCAGCTTCCCTTGACCACGGTAGAGGTTGCCCAGATTGTTGACCGTGTCGAGCGTCGAGGTGTGTTCCTTGCCGAGCGCCTTCTCCTTGCCTTGTAGTGCCCGCTGGTACATCG